TAGTAATGAGAGAAATAGTTTGACTGAAGAGAAATACTTGAATGTGACAGGGTAACATGCAGGAAATACAAAGAATGGACACTAACCCGCAAACAGTGTAAAGTTAAACAAAAATCAAAATACATTACAGTAACATTTGCTCAGTACTATTTAGGGTAAATTGCAGTATTGACAATATTAGTCTTGTTCTCTGCCCTGGGCAAGGAATGCAGATCCACTCCTCCTTCCCAGCCCTACTCCAAGTCTGGAGCAGAGTTTACCCCTGAGCCCTGCCCTAGCAGTAGAACAAGGCCCCACATCCATTACTCATCCTGCACTGGTGTTTCACCATCTCACCACCAAAGGAGAGCTACTGCTTGGAAAGGCCTTGCTCCAGAGGAGGCTGCTCCCAGCACTGACTGGTACCAGTCGTCACCAGAAGCAGCACTATATTTTCCCAACAAGATGAGACAGCCTGGAGAGCAGAGCTTTAAAGAGAGGGAGACCAGCCTACACCCACAGCCTCCCAAAATAAGTTATGACCTATGGGAAACACTAGTACTGTAACACTATCATAGTCTGATGCGGATATCGAGAGTATTAACATCATTGCCCACCATCAGACTTGGCATTTACTATTTTGCTGGCCACGAGAGGGAGTCCACAGCCCTCCGATCCACAGAAGACCTGCAGCAGAATTTGCAGTGAGGAGCATTTGAGTTGTATCTCACTTTCAGCACTTAGCTGGAGCAACAGCTTCAGAAATACACAGCTTCCAGCACATAACACCCCCACATAATAGGGCAGATTAATATTGGCACTTCTACAGCTTTTTATTATTCACACAGGTGGGGGAAGGTGTGTTCAGCTGTTATTAAAGAGCTTTATTCAAACAGCTGATGAGGATTCATAGGGCAGGCCAGTTTTTTTCCTCCCTCTGCCAATCTATACTTACATACTGCTGACAAGAGGAAAGATCCCTCCAAACCAGCAGTTATGTGTCCTGAAGCACCATCTCCTTTCCTCTTTTGCCCCCCAATGGAAGATGGGGGCCTACATGTGAAAACAGCTTTTACTGTTAATCACATGAGCATCTTAAACCACTTGCATTTAAGGCACGCTAACTATAAAGAACTTGCAATATTACTATGTAAAATACTTTAATGTGGATTGACTTTATATGTTTCTTCACTTGGAACTCTGTGCAAAGAGATAAGATTGAATGCCTCCTGGCACAAAGTCAATCACTTAATTCTGGGATTAACAACAGTTGAAGTTACAAACTGCACCAGTTTTAATCTGTAACTACCCAAATGCTGCCTCAACACTGCTCAAGAGAGCAGCAACAACCCAAAGCTGCACTTATTCTTTCAGAGAGGAGCTGAATAAGACAAAGAGAGAACAAACAGCTTCTGGGATCAGGCAAAGCTCAGATCAAGCCACCATTTATCCTTCATTTTAGTATTTAAAACTGGTTATTAAGTCATCCCTATTACAGCCTGCATCTTAGAGAAAAATCTCTTTTCTAAAAGAAAAAAAAAAAGAGAGAGAGCGGAGAAGCCATACTACTCCCATATTAGTTTTGCAATTTTGGAATACTCAGGCTATTGTTGACGTCTAGTTCAAGCAAGCTACTCTCGCTATCTGAACAGAACAGAGACACAGCGATAATTTTTTTAAAAAACAACCTACTAGGAAACCAAAAGCTAGAATTCCTGAGGCAAGATAATGCAGCCAGCAGCAGCACATGTGTCCTCTCCTCCAGCCCTCTGTTACAAACTACCTTAGTGCATTTCTGCAATGCCACAACCACCTGTTCCCACAGCGTTCAACAATGAAAGTAGTAACTGCTTTCAAAAGCCTTTTATTCTAAAGGAAAAAGAAAGAAAAAAATCCTTCCAGCATAGAATCAAGATTCAAAGCAGAATGAATCTTGAAAATTACAAAGTTTTTTAGGTTTTTTTTTTCTCAATGCTACACAGGTTTATTTGCACATTCCTTAATCACATTCCCCCACTCATACATTCAGGCATCACAGATAAGCAGGAGCACCTGCGTTGAAGTTTTAACATGAAGAACCAGCTGGATGCATAGGTACTTAAACTTCTAAATCCCTAACAAGATATATTCAAAGAAAATATTGAAATTGAAGGGGGGAAAAAAGGCTTATTAAAGTTGCTATGACTTGGCATATTATGTATCTCAATAAATTGGCATCATATTGCAAGCTAAAGTGTTGGCCATGCTGTTAAAAGAAAACCACTGAAAGCAAACTAAAACTATGAAGTGCAAGAGCTTGAGCATGTTGGCAACACAACACTCCAGGCTGTACCACCAGGTCCCCCTCCACGCTGAGAGAGGAGAGGACAATATTATCAATGCCGTGGGAATCCCAAGCACAGCAAGGGCAGCCAGGATTACACCGGCACTGCAGATCGAGCACATTGCTCATCTCAGACCATCCTGGGAAGCCAACCCAAGGAGAGGCCTCTCAAGGCTGCAGCACTATCTGCACAACAGGGGAGCCTCCACCCTCCAGCAGCAACAGCTCTAGGCGCTGCTTATTTTCCTTTAGACTTTCAGGAGTGGGACAGAAAATCGCTGGAAAGCAAGAGGAGGGAATGAGCTTACTTTTGTGTAGCGATGCGGGTACTTCGCTGTAATCCTGCTCAAGTCGTGGAAAGCATCCCCGTTCTCCGCCTCCGCTGCGCCTCCTCTTTTATCCATGGCTCCCGCGAAGCCTTTGGCCGCGGACCTGGTTAGGGCAGAGCCAGGGCTGGGTGTGAAGCCTCCGCACGAGCCGCGCGGGCCTCCCCCTCGCCGCCTACCGCGTGTCCCCCGCGCGAGGGACGAAGCGCCGAGGCGGCAGCAGCTTCTCCCGCTCGCGGCTCCCCCGGGACACGCAGCGCCCGGCGGAGCCCCCGGGCCGGGGCAGCTGCGCGGCCCAGGCCCGCGCCGGCCCCGGGGCAGCTGACGCCGCGGCC